ACTTTTAAGTCCATCACCCATACAACCACTGTTTTCATTTTGGAATATTCTCTTTCAATCCTTATATGTGTACTTTTTTTATTGTTGTTCACTTTTTAAGAGAACTCAATTTGTATATACAGTTTAGTGTTCAGGCTAATATTCCCCATGACACTATTTTATAAGCATTTCTCCATCATTGAAAATATTCTTATAACCCAGTCTCCTTAGTTTTATAATTATTTGTATGCAAAATCTTAATCATCCCTACTAGACTGTAAGATCCCAAAGGGCAGGGCTAGGTTCTCTTAGTCTTTCAATATGCCCATCACTGTATTCCATATGTCATAGGCACCCAATAAGTATTTATTGGATTAACTAAATTAAATTGAATATGGGGCAACATTCTTACAAAGTTTCACTATCAAGTAGGAAAAAGGAAAAAAAAACAGAAAAAAGAAATTCATAAACCACTAGAGATGGGTATCAACTATGCCAAAACAGAAAATTCCAGCCCGAAAAACTGAGGAATCTATGAACTAGCCCTGTGTAGACATGTAAGTGTAAAGGGACCACATACAGCTGGAGTAGGCATCTGAACACTTCGGTCACATTATAAGTCATTTGAGTCATTTGGCTCTCTAGTTTGAAATCATGGCCAACAATTTCTCCTAAATAAATAAATTCTTTATTGAAAGAGCTTACCTGTGTCACAGCTGGTACCTCTGACCAGCCAGGTGAGAAGCACATGAGGTGAAGTCAACATGTCTTCAAAGGGACTGTTGTGTGGCACTCTGCAGGGACTTCTCAGTGGTATTGTTATTATCAAATTGTTGCAGCAAAAGCTCACCACAATGCTCCATGAGACTTAATATTCTAATGGCTGTATTTTTTTTTTTGGCCAAAAACAAATGTTTGCAAGGAAATCTAGACAGGGTGGCTGAAGGGAAAAAATGCCCTTCATTTGGTCTCCCTTCTTTTTTCAGCAACATTCTAGTCAGTTTGACCCAAGAATAGTTTTACGGTGTAGTTTTGATAAGTGGACAAATATGCCATGTACTTTCCCAGTCCCCTGAAATTCAACCCTTTCCCTAGATAATGCATTATGTTGTCTCCTTTTCTCGTCGCACTCTCCAGCGGCCCCACTGCATCTCCTCTGCTAGCCACAGGCAGATGCCATCACTGTGAAGCTCCACAAGCCACAAAAGCTCCTTCACTTCCCATAGGGTTTTCAGAACTCTTCAGCCTGACTGGGTAGTTTCAAGGCCAACTATAGTATTGGGGATGCTGCTTAATTTTGACCCATACGGCCACAAGGAAGAGAGATGCATCTGTGGTAGCTGACATAGAGAGGGTTTTATTAGAATTAGCATTAAGAGGATTCTCACATTCATGTAAACATTTCTCCAAAACTTTTTATCACATAGCTTCATTTTCTATTATTGCTGCTATTTCTATCTTTCCCCTTTAAGTTTACTGATTTGTAATGTTAACTCTTTCTGAATCACATTCGAATTATTTTTTTCTCATTTTACATTACATTCCTGTCACTTTATTTTTACCACACACATATATATATTTCTAAAGCATAAAAATGTATTATTTTAAATATTTGCAATTTTCTCACCAAGATATGGAAGCAGCCCAAGTGTCCATCAATATATGAGTGGATAAAACAACAATGGGACATTTACACAATGGAATTCTATTCTGCTGTAATAAAGAAGAAAATTTTTCCCTTGCAACAGTATGGATGGACCTGGAGAACATTATGCTAAGTGAAATAAGCCAGTCAGAGAAAGACAAATACCATATGATATTAGTCATAGGTGGAATCTAATGAACAAATTGAACTAACAAACAAAACAGAGACAGACTCAGATGGAAAGCAGATGACAGCTAGTAGGAGTGGGGAGTTTAGGAGTTAGAGGGATTGAGCAAAAAGGAAAAAGGTCTCATGGACATGGACAACAGTGTGGTGATTGCTGGAGGGAAGGGAATATAATGGGACTAAATGGTAATGGAAAAAATACAATAAAGATTAAATTTTAAAATGAATAAATATTTGTGATTTTCACATATTAGGGTTTCTGACAAAATGTGATCTTGATCCAAAACAAGGCCCAATTTTTTAAAGGACCCTTTCAAAACAGGTTTCAAAATTAGGACACTATTGGTTTTAAAAACATCCTATCCCTAGTTTAAACTGACAAAATATATTCTCCCACAACTATTACTCAACCAGAAATTAAAGTTTTGGTAGGTAAATTAAAGGTAAAAGGCATAAAGCTTCTTACATAAAATACTGGCAAGAAAAACTTTATTCTTTTTCTTAGAAGGAAAGCTATAGTGCCATTGATTATTAACAAACTCTTTAACATTTTTCTACATAGGTTTGTAAAAGAACGCCAAACATTTTCCTTATTTCTGTTCATGTCTTCAAAATCATAAACATTAATTTCAGAAAAGATGAATTTATGGCAAGGGAAAATATGTTACTTAAAAGTGCTAAATTAATGCCACAGTCAGGATTTTCCCAGTTAAATTGTAGCTTTAACTTGCAATAAAATCTCAATACTTTGTGAGTTCTTAACCTCATCGGTTAGTTTGAGCTATCTCAAATTAACTAACCTGCTTCATGGCTTCAAAACTCATTTCTAGCTACTATCACTTAAACCAAAAATCACAGAAGTGCTTCTATAGCTGAAATGGTAAAACACCCTTCCTTGATATACATTACTTATATCAGGCTTTAAACAAATCCAGTAGGGCAAGTGGGGCAAGTATTATCCATATTTTATGGAGGGAGAAACTGAAATAGAATCCCACATCCAAGGACATCAAGCAATTTAACTGCAGAACCCAAGGAAGAAATCAGAGGATCTGATTTCTAGTCCAATCTTTGTACTTTAAAGTTAGCTTGGTTAATCCCCAGGCTTTAAATTTCTGTGGCTTTTCTTATTGTTGAGACTATTACAGATGTCCCTCATTTCCATCCCCCTTTGCCCCACTCCACCCAGGCTCTGCCCCCTCTCCCCAGCCCTCACCACACTATTGTCTGTGTCTCTGGGCAAGGCATGTATGTTTGGCTAATCTTTTCCAGTTCCCCCCATCCCCCTTACTTCTGAGATTTGTCAGTCTGTTCCATGTATCTATGTCTCTGGTTCTATTTTGTTTATCAGTTTTTCTTACCAGATTCTATATGTATATGTGAGATTATATGGTATTTGTCTTTCTCTGACAGGCTTATTTCACTTAGCATAATAATCTCCAGCTCCATCCATGCTGTCTCAAAAAGTAAGAGTTCCTTCTTTTTTATAGCTACGTAGTATTCCATGTACTACAGCTTTCTTATCCACTCATCTACTGATGGGCACTTGGCCTGTTTCCAGATCTTGGCTATTATAAATAACACTGCTATGAACATAGGAGTGCATATATTCTTACCGATTGGTGTTCCAGGATTCTTAGGGTGTATTCCCAGAAGCGGGATCCCTGGATCAAAAGATAGTTCCATTTATAATTTTTTTAGGAAACTCCATGCTGGTTTACACAGTGGCTGCACCAATCTGCATTTCCATAAATGGTGCACTAGGGTTCCCTTTTCTCCACATCTTTACTGGCACTTGTTTATTGATGGCAGGCATTCTGGCAGGTGTGAGGTGATGCTTCATTGTAGTTTTAATTTACATTTCTCTTTATGATTAGTCATGTCGAGCATTGTTTCATGTCTATCTGTTATCTGTATGTCCTCTTTGGAGGTGTCTATTCAGGTCTTTTGCTCATCTTTAATTGGACTGTCTTCCTAGTGTTGAGTTATATAAGTAATTTATATATTTTGGAAATTAATCCCTTATCAGATGTATCACTGGCAAATGTTCTCCCATACAGTAAATTTCCTTTTCATTTTGTTGATGTTTTCTTTTGCTGTGCAGAAACTTTTCAGTTTGACGTAGTCCCATCTGTTTATTTTTTTTCCTTTGTTTCCCTTTCCGTAGGAGATATATCTGCAAAAGTATTGGTACCTGAGACATGTGAGATTTTACTGCCTATGTTTTCTTCTATGATTTTTGTGGTTTCATGACTTAAAGTCTTTTATCTATTTTGAGTTTATTCTTGTGTACGGTGGAAATTGGTGCACTGTGTTAGGCAGGATACATAGCAAACCAAGGGAGAGAAGAGGGAGACATCTCACTAGTTAATTTAGCAGTCCTGAGCCTAGTCAGATAAGATTGCCAGGTATCCAGAAAGTCACACACGCACAATCAAAAACAACCATGATAACTCAGGAGGGAACTTTAAATTTTCTAGGTATCCTTTCCACTACCTGGAAAAGAAAGCCTTTGAAACTGTATATTACTCCCAGGGTCTGGAGATGGGAGGAGGTGGAAACTAGAGGCAGCTTCTAAGCATAAAATCCCTAAAATCTCAATAGTCAGGACACTCAGATGAACTGGGTGCCAGACTGCAGCTTCATGCTCAAGTGTATTTAATAAACTTGCTATCTCATTTCCATTGTAAGTGTTGTCTCTCACCTGAATTCATCTCTTATGAGTAAGCAAGCCTCCCCAATAAATCCAGTTTCATTTTTTTGCATATACCTGTCCAACTGCCCAACACAATTTATTAAAGAGACTGTTTTTACTCCATTGTATGGTCTTGCCTGCTTTGTCAAATATCAACTGAACATAAAGGCGTGGGTTGATTTCTGGTCTCTCTCTTCTGTTCTATCGATCCATATGCCTATTTTTGAGCCACTACCAGGTGGCTTTGATTAAAACGGCTTTGTAAATTACTGGGATTTGCTCTAACCGGCTGAATTACTGCCGTCTCACTGAATCCTGCACACAAAGGGGCCCTACGCCGATAGGGCAGTGCACCATGACGCAAGAGAATCGTAAGTGCCCGACAACTAATCAACCCTCTGTCTATTTGCCCAGGTGGCCTTGGACTACAGGGACACGTCACCAGGTAGGGGCTATATAAACCGCAGCAGTCCAAGCCTAACAGGCCACACCGGACCCACACAAAATCGCAGCAAGCACCAGGTTTCTGCCCCGCCCAGCGCCGCAATTCCCCGCCGCGCACCACGTGAGACCGAGCCCCGCCCCAGAGCCCCGCCCCGATTTCACCGCCCAACGTCTCGTGACTCAGCAAGGGCGCCTTGGGGGCTTCGCCGCTCCCGACACCACCCTCGGTTTAGGTTCTGGGCCGCCGCGGAGCTCCTGGCCTTTGGTGCGCCCACGGCGCTGTCTGCCTCACCGAGACGCGCGTCCCGTGGTGGAAGGGATGCAGGATTCTGGAGCGGCAGTGACTACGGCAGGGGAGGCCGAACTGAACTTGTCCCGCCTCAGCGTATCCCCCGAGACGCTGGAGTCGGAGCTGGAGTCTAGGGGCGAACAGCGGCGCGGCGCGCGGGAGGCGCTACTGCGGCTGCTGCTGCCGTACAACCGTCTAGTATCGCTGCCGCGGGCTCTGGGTAGGGGCTTCTCGCATCTCCAGCTGCTGGATGTGAGCGGCAACGCGTTGACCGCGTTGGGGCCAGAGCTGCTCGCTTTGCACGGCCTACGCACGCTGCTGGCTAAGAACAACCGGCTCGGTGGGCCCGGCGCGCTTCCCAAGGGTCTGGCCCAGTCGCCTCTCTCTCGCAGCCTTCAAGTGCTCAACCTCAGCGGGAACTGCTTTCAAGTGGTGCCCCCGTCGGTGCTGGAGCTGCGTGCACTGCAGACCCTCAGCCTGGGCGGCAACCAGCTTCAGGCCATCCCGGCTGAGATCGAGAACTTGCGGAGGTGAGCGGGTCCCTGCCTGAGAGGAGAGAGCCCCTGGGCCTCAGGCCTGGCCTTAGCACCGTTTAGTTGGCTTATAACTGTCTCCTTCTGGGCTTTCCCTTTAACTTTTTGGCATTGAATACTACCCGGCCAGCTCAGCGAATCTAATAAGATAGTGTGTGTGACCGCCCTGGTATGTTGTATTTCCTCTGTGCAAAGAAGATTCGTCCTTACCTTAAATATTAGCAGTCCCAGCATATGATTTTTTTTTTTTCTCTTCAAGTAGAGACTTTTACTTTTTCCCTTAGAGGAAGCACTTTACAGCTTCTCTGACGTACCCAAATTGCCAGTATCACTACTCTTGCACTTTGGGGCCATTATTCAGTAAAATAAATGCTACTTGAACCTGATAAGCATTGAGATGCTATGACAGTTGATCTGATAACTGGGATGGCCACTAGGATTTCATCACACTACTCAGAACGGTGTTTAATTCAAAACTTATGAATTGTTTACTTCTGGAATTTACCATTTAATATTTTCAGACCACAGTTGACCACAGGTAAGTGAAACTGGGGAAAACAAAACTGCAAATAAAAGGGAACTACTGCATTTGTGGAATTCAGTAAGCCATGCTTTTTGCCAGCACATATGGGCTCTCACTAATTGTGTGTTCAATGGATGCCGTGCCTCTGTACATATTCTTTTCCTTTTGCCCGGAATGCTGCCTGTACCTGGCAAATTCCTATTCATCTTTAAAAATCAATCTTGAGGGTCATCTGTTTTCTTTCATTACTGCTTCCTGGGCAACACCTAAGTTATTACCTATACTGTACTTCCTCATGTCACCATTGCATTTATCATAGTGATTATAATTCCTTATTTACAGGTCTGCCTCACCTACTAGATTATTTGGTTAATGTACATTGAATTAAATGGAAGGAAGAAGCAGAGACACAGGTAGCAAAAGTCCCCTAAATGTCCTGTGCAGGAGAGTGAAAAATAGAGCAAGAGCAAGTGTATTGTACAAAGTGAAAAAAAGTATTGTCTGTAAAATTTAATTTTCACAGCCTTTATTGAATTTTCTGAGATAACAGAATGTTAGAGCTGAGAGGGACCTCAGAGTTAATGATAGCAGTGGTCCCCAACCTTTTTGGCACCAGGGACTGGTTTTTCCAAGGACAGGAGGCAGAGCTCAGGAGAGCTTCACTGGTGGTCTGGTTCTTAACAGGCCTTGGGCAGGTACTGGTCCATGGCCCAGGGGTTGGGAACACAATTATAGTGAAAAGAACATTGGCCTGAGAATAAGAACTCTTGATGTCCCAGCCTTAGGCAAGTCACTTAACATGCTCTGACTACAACCTCCTAATCTGCTAAATGAGGCATTTGGAAGAGATGTCTTTTCATTTACTCCACACATCAGCAGATATTTGTGTAATACCTACCATGTATCAGGTGCTGGGGATACATTGGTGAACATGATCCTGCTCTCTTGGAGCTAACACAGTATGAGAGACATTAAACCTCATTTATAGTTATAAGTTCTATGAAGACATACAGAGTGCCTTGAAATGAAATAACAGAAGGGACTGTCTTAGTTTGATTCTTGAGCAAGTAACATTTGAATTGAGTTTTTGTAAGAATTAACTAGGAGAGGGTGGGGTAGGATTAGTCAAAGTAAAAAGAACAACGCAGATGAAAGCCGAGAGGCAAGGACTGAAGGTCAAAATTTTGAAGGGAGGACATTGTAGTAGAGCATAGTGACTAAGTAGCCAAGAGGGAAAGTGGCAAATATATTTGGACCAGATTTCAGGCCATGCCAGATCTCAAAGGCCCTAATAAAGTTCCATTTTTATGTTAAGTACACAGTGAGTTTTAAGCACCTCTCTCTTGTTGAGCTATGTAAGAGTGGAGTGGAGAGAGGGTGGACAGATGAGATTTTGAGGGCTGGTTAGAAGGAGGCTATTGTAAAATTAGAGATGATGGTAGCTTATAGCACGGTGATGCTAGAAGAGATAAATAGAAGGGTTTAAGAGAAATTTAGATGCAAAATTGACAAGCCTTGGTTTGTTCTGACTCTGGTGTTACATAATTCCAACCTTCTCATTTGAATTTTCTCAATATACTAAGAAATACCCAGGGCAGGTATTACTTTCATCATGTAAGGAAAAGGGTAGACAAAAATTCCCTTTATTGCTTACTTACAATGAGGTGGGCCCTGTTATAGGTGCTTTAAATATGCTGTTTAACTCACCATAACCCTGTGAGATGAGAAGAACCTGAAGCTCTGAGACGTTAGGTCATAAAAACACAAAGTGAGTGGCATAATTGCTTTTGAGCTCTGGAATCTCTGACTCCAAACCCATGAATTTTCCACACTGACAGAGCAGGGCTAGAACCCAATTCTTCTGACTTTTCTTCTCTTGCATATATGATCAGGAGGATTGGTCAAAGCCACTACCTGGTTGACCTGCTTTTCTGGGCTGATAACTGTTTTTCTGGGCTAATTACTGTGTGGGAATCTTTTTATGTCATTTTTAGTTGTATGTGCCATTTCTCTTTATTGATAAGAGTCATAAAGATTTAGTGTAGGCTTAGAGGGTCATGTAATAGAAATTTACACTTAGAAATAGAAACAGCCTGAGCAATGGCCTCATTTACCCTCTTCTTTTTACAGATGGGGAAACTGAGATTTAGTTATTAATGACTTGCTTGAGGCCAGATAGTGACAGTGAGATAAATGTGATTCAGTCCGTAAAGGCTGCTTCCAACTCACTAAAACAGTGCATTAAAGTTTTGAAAATGTAGAGATGGTGATTCAGTCACTTAAACCCCAGGTGGCTTCCCTATAACACCATCTTCTCTTAGAATGGGACTCCCTAGATCTCATATGTAACCCTGATGTACATTGTCTACTATGCCATGTTGTTGTATAAACCACATCAGGTGTTTCTGGATGTTAGGAAGATACCTTCCCTCTTTAACTGCAATTTAAAAATTTTTTTGCTGAGTATATAATCCATGTAAAGGTTTCCTTTCTTTCCAGTCTTCACTCAGGAAGGAATAACAAATACATGCAATAGGCTTAATTGGTGTAATTAACCTCTTCAGATTAGCAGGGTGTCTTCCTGTATGTTTTCTGTGCTTTGTTAATCCTTTTCCCTAGTGACAAAATCTTTTTTTTAATGATGTATAATGAATAAGTAGGTGCTGAAAATTTATTTTTATGATTAACTTCATTCCCTTGGAGTAAATTAGTCTCAGTGAGAGCCTTGAGGTGGTGGATGTAGATACTTACCATCAAAGTAGGGGGTTATTCATCAACAAGTAGATGTAATACCTGTTTGGTAATATATGGAGAAACTTTTTTTTCATAATGTTGAAAAAGTAGGTGTAATTAGTATTTGACCTGTTTTCTATGACCTCTTATCTTAGTCCTCTCAATTAGATTAGACTCTTAATAACGTACTACTCAATGGTTATTTTAAAAAATGAAAGCTTTAGGACTGTTTGGTATCCAGGAGTCTAGACATTTGGAAGGTAGGTTTGAGCACAAGTGAATTTCATTTGCTACCATTTCTCACAATATTTTCTGTTCAAGTAATTCTTTCCTTTTTCTGTTCATGACCCTTCCCTCACTGTGCTTGATGTGATTTTAGAAATTGAAGGTTAGAGGACTGTGTCAGAAGCAAAAGCTAAATAAATATTCATGCTCTGGGATATTTTGAAGCTAGTGTGCAGTAAACAAATTGATATCTTATGAAAGAAGTGATTGGATCAGATGATAAATAGAATGTGTTCAAGTTTAAATAAAAACTTTTCATCCCATTTAAAGTCACATACTGAGTTTTTCTGTGGCTCTCAAGTTCTTTTCTCAGACTTCTTTATTGCCTTAGATTTGGACAAGTATCAAGAGATGATTGCTCCATCTGTGTTTCTACTTTTGAACATATAATGTTCTTTAAAGCCTGTGGTGAATGGTGGTATTTGAAAATGATTCAATATGGAGATGCTATCTCAAGAAAATTACTTTATCCATAAATGTATGGTTCATATAGATATCATGTATCTATCATAAAAGTTGATTGGCATTAAGGGACCCTTAGTGTATTTTTTTCAGTGGGTCATTGGCCTTTGCTAGAGAAAAGCCACCCACTTCAGTATCCCTAAGGATTCAGAGAAATGGAATACTTTTCAGGAAACAAAACTAAGATTGGTCTGTTAAATGATAAACAGGAAGGAAAAAGAAGAATTCTACAAAATTTGTCACACCGAAAGAATAGAATTGTTCCAAACCTGATTAAGAGGGGTGCAATGCTGACAAACCCAAGAACTTTTAAATACTACAGTTTTGCTTTAAATTCAACAACAGTTTCCTTTCACCCTACATAAAAGCATGTTTGGGAAGAGTAGAGTGTACTTTAGAAATTTAATTTCCACAAATCATTTAAAGGCTTCAAGTCCCTAGAACTTTGGGAATTATTTGTGTTTCAAAGTGAGAAGTAAGCCTGAAAGTGTAAATTTAATATGCTAGTTGTGTAATCTGATTAATGATACCTATCAGTTGCAAAAGAGAATTGATACAATGTCGAAATTACGGGTTTGGTTATATTTTAGAACATCAGTTCCTTCTCTGCCAAGTCACAGTAACTACTAAGGTTTGACATCCTTTGTCTGTATTCCTCCCCACTGACTCCAAAGTATTGACAGAAAGATATTAAGTAGTAACTGACCAGCAGATACTAATTTCTCTGGTGAAATGACTTAAGGTTCTTGACTTAAACAAATAGAAAACACAATATTTAAATTTTCTCTCAGATTCACTTTCCCTTTTCTTCTCTCCTTCAGTAGACTGTAATGCAAGTTGTTACCTAACTGTTGAATTCTGTATAAAAAGGACTTCCAAGTTCGCTCATTTTTTTTTCCAGATAGGCTTCTCTTTTTCCAGGGTAGGTTCTGTTTTGGGAGCTCCAGATATTCTGTTCTGTTTTGTTCTATTCTATTCTAGTAGCTCCCATCATTGAAAAATAGAGATTTCTGAATATCTTAGCATTCACCTACACTATTTTGTTAGGATCAAAAAATCCTGCCTAGGAAGTTTTTTCACCACTGCTAAAACATATACATATAGGAGAATTCAGTCTTGTATACAATTGATTTTTTAAATCCTCATCTTGGACATATAGTTTTTATTGATTTTAGAGAGAGAGGAAGGGAGAGAAAGAAAGAGGGTGTGAGGGATAAACATTGATTGGTCGCCGCCTGTACATACCCCAATTGGGGATTGTACCATCAACCTAGTATGTGCCCTGAGTGGGAATTGAACCCACAACCTTTTGGTGCACAGGATGATGCTCCAACTGACCACAGGATGATGCTCCAACTGACTGATCCACCTGGTCAGGGCCAGACATTTGATTTTTTTTATACAAGGCAATGTTTGAAAGACAAAAAAGTAACATTGGAATTAAAGTTGTCTGCTTTTACTAAGCCTTATAAATCTAAAACAATTACAAAATCAGAAATAGAAAAGGAATATCTTTAATACATTTTTTAAATGCCAAAACTTCAAATTCAGTTTGGCTTTTGAATCATCACATATCAATGAAGGCAAGATTTTGAAGTACAGATAAAAAATTCAACAAAGGGAAGAAATTATACACAGAAAATACATATAATAAGGCAATCTATAAAGGACTTTAAAATAAGTATGTTTCCTAACTTCAGAAAGGTAAAGGAGGGTATTTCATCAATGAAATAAGTTCAAAAAATGGATAATTATGAAAACCCCAATTAGAATTCCTAGAAATGAAAAAAATGTACTTAGGACCTCAGTAGGCTGAATGGTAGATTGTAACACAAAAAGAAAGAAATGGAAAGTGTGAAAAACATTAAGAGACATGGAGAATTGATCCTAAAGTTCCACTGCTGTTTACTAGGAATCCTAGAAAAGAGACTAGAGAATATGCAGAAAAGGCAATGTTTGAAATAACAGTAGCTGAGATTTTTCCACAATTAAAAGGAGTGCTTAAACTGGTATCTTGACACATGATGAAACTTCAGAACAATAAGGTTAAATAAAGAAAATAGACCCTAAAAGCTCCTAATAATAAAAAAAAACAGACTATCTGCAAAGGAGCAATAGTAATACTGGCTGAAATAAGATGATGAATCAGTAGCTTCCTAGTGCTAAGGAAAAGTAAATGTCAGTGTAGAATTTGATGCCCAGCCAAGCTATTTGTTATTCAGGAGTGGGCCTTGGGCAGTAAAAATGTTAGAGATGAAAGACTCAGACTATTAACTGTGTTGGGTCCTTGCTGAAAGAACTTCTGACGGTCGTACTTGAGTTATACTCTGGAACAGCAGTTTCAACCTTTTTCAACTCATGGCACACATAAACTAATTATTAAAATTGTGCAACATCAAAAAATAGATTTTTTACCAATCTGACCAAAAAAAGTAGGTATGTTTGATTCATTCACACCGGATGGCTATTGTTGTGTTGGCTGTTGTCATTTTTTTATTTAACAGTCTTAAGTGAAAAGAGGTCAGTGCTCTAGAAGGATGACTTGCCTTTTGTGTGGAAAATAGCTGCTGAAGTGAGAGACGAGTCTGATGGGAAGAGTGCCAGCAGGAAGAGCAGACTGGAACCTAATGTAGCAGTCCAGAAGTGAAATGGTAGAGATTTGCTTGGTACATCTTTTTCTGTCTCATTACTTTTAAATGTATTGGGGTATTTCTATTTTAAGTGTAACTCTTGTGAAGAGCTCACCCAACTTGATAAAATTCAAAATTCAAAGATCTGAAGGAGCCTCTGAACTCGTGTTCCTAGACTCCCTCTCTGACCTGCATGACTAGTACTGTCCGTCTCTGTCTCTCTGATCTACCCACACTGGCTGTGTACCTCTTTCACAACACAAGCATTTTTCCATCTTGGATTTGTACTCAGCCATTTCATTCATATCGCTGTGCAAATGTCATCTCCTATAGGAAATCTTTTATGATCACCCTGTTTAGAATATGACTTTCATTACCACTGATGACCTCTCTTTCCTTATAGCACTTAAAGCTTTCTGGCAAAATATATAAATTCATTGATTTATTATTTGTTTCTCTGGATGTAAGCTACTGAAGGTCAAGTACTCAGTCTTCCACTGTATTTCTTAGAATGTTGCACAGTATGTGTCTGGTTCATATTTGTTGGCTAGGCACTTTACATGATATATAATAATAATACTCCATTTTAAAGGAGAGGAAACTGGAGCATAATGAGATTAAGTACCTGGCCCAAATTCTTACACTGGTAAGTGGTAGAGCTGGAATTAAATGAAATAAATACTAACAATAATTAAATCAATAGTTAATATTGATAGTATTGTCTCAATATTGGCGTGTCTTGTCTGCTTACCTATAATATAAGCTCCCTGAAGATTGCATTATTTCTCTAGAGACTGGATAGCACAAAGCAAATCCTAAATAAAACATTTGCTAAATGAATAAATGAAATGTGTTCATTGTAATAAAGGCAATGGGGTATCTTATCTAGCTTTGGTTTGTTTACTTTTTGTTCATTTTTCTTTGCAGTTTAGAGTGTTTATATCTTGGAGGAAACTTCATCAAAGAAATCCCACCAGAATTAGCAAATCTGCCTTCTCTGACTTACTTGGTATTATGTGACAACAAAATCCAAAGCGTGCCTCCTCAGCTTTCACAGTGAGTAGTTTCAGGCAGTGGATGTATACATAGAAATGCATGCTTACGAATTATTGTTTTCCATTCACCTACATGTTTTATATGTAGAAAAAAATTAGGTATTCTCAAGGTAAATGATACTTGAGAATTGTAGTTCTGAGGTTTGCTGTGAATTAGGTTGCTTATTTTTAATGTTACTTTTAAATGCTCTGGTTTATTCCTTACAATATTTGTTTAGCCTGTGTTCTATAATCAAAAACAGAGTATTCATTTGGCAGAGATTTCCCAGGCTTTCTGGGACTTTGTTGATTTTATATTTGATATGAAGCATTCCTATCCTAATGAGATAATGTGAAGGATCTTGATTCATGTTGCATTTGGAATCTTTCCTTTTTTGGTTATCTGAATGAGAAAACATTCCTCCCTCCAAAATCTTTAAATCTAGCATTTATAGTTCATCTCGTACATCAGAATACTCTGAGTATTCTAAACACTCTGAGATTCCATGGGCAAAAGCTCTTCATGGCATTTACAAATCTGTACTCTGATCTAGTTTCAGCACTTTTTAATTGTACTTGCATTGACCTTAATGTTAATTGCTCATTCTTACAGGGAAACCAAATTCTTCACTTAATTTTCTTGGTAGTAATCTTGCTTACGGCCATTGGTTTTTGTGCTGCATTCATTCTAGGTTGCATTCACTTCGTTCCCTCAGTCTTCACAATAACTTGGTGACATACCTGCCTCGAGAGATCCTCAACCTTATTCATTTGGAAGAATTGAGTTTGCGAGGAAATCCACTGGTTGTTCGTTTTGTTAGAGATTTAACCTATGACCCTCCAACTCTCCTGGAATTAGCTGCGCGGACCATTAAAATTCGAAATATTTCCTACACTCCCTGTGATCTTCCTAGGAATCTTCTTAGATACTTGAGTTTAGCCAGCAATTGCCCAAACCCAAAGTGTGGAGGTAAGTTAACTTAGTGTCTTTGTTTCCCATTCATTTAGCTGTTGTTAAAGTTGATGGTCTAAGTGTTTTTTTGTTTTTTTTTATCCATTGCGGTCTTTTAGTGAAAGGCAGTTAGTCTCTGTTTCTGTTTCCCTCATCCTTCCACCGGAAACTAAGACATTTCACCCTTTCGGGATTTCTTTTTTTTTTTTTTCTTTTCATAGTACTTTATGATTCATATACAAGGAAAACATCCAGAAAGTCTCCTTCTGTCTTGGAACTGTCATAAAATTTATAAAATGAGAAGAAACAGAAAAGAAGCACAACAGTCCTAACTGCTTAAAAGGAATCTCTAAAATATTTGGCTACCTTTTATATTTTTTTGAGGAACACACCATTCTTAGTATCAGGTACCTTTATAGAGTGTGGTTCAAGATATATGAGAATAGGCAGAATGGGTGCTGGTTTCAGCATGTATCCTGGAATTGTATATTCTTTTAAATCATGGTTCAGAATTTCTTCAGTTTAGAGCACTTAAAGAGAATTAAACAAATATATATAAGGCAAAGTGAAGTGGGAATTCAGTGTACTATTGAAATGAAAGGAGGGAGAGAATACAGTTAACTAGATCTGGAAAAGAGATGATTCTTGAAGTATGAGTTAGATTTTGATAGGGTAAGATTGAGAATAAGAAACTTTTCAGATGGAAAGAATATAATTGGAGACAAGACAGAGTGGGGCAGAATGTTGCATAAGTAATAATTAGGTTCAAATACACAGGAGGAATAAGAGAAAAGACTTTATAAAAGATACATTGAGACCAGGTTATGAAGGGCCTGCACTGTCAGGAGCTATGGGGTGGGAGTTGGTGATGACAGCAGGTAATTTTATTCTGGCTCCCTCATAAAAGACTACTTCTAAAAAAACCCAGTTTGCTGGGAGTGCAGAAAGGTTTTTACTGTTGGATAAATGTAGGTGTTAAGGAAATGTATAATGATGATCAGATTTTTTTCTGGAAGTCCCATCATGTCTTGAAACCATTATAAGGTTTAAAAAGGAGAAAATGGTTTAAGCTCCTCAAAAGATGTCAAAAGAGAAAAAAGACACTTTGGTTTAAACAAGACAGTACTCTGGGCCCTTTCTGGCCACTCACTCTTACAAGAAGAGGTTGCTGTGCTGTGCTTAAGCTTCTTCTCTCTGGTGCTCTTTCCTAAGCTGGCTTTAACCATGGCAAAGGTCAGCATTCACAGCGGCCTTCTGGCTTAGTAGTCTGTATCTTCTCCTTTTCTGGAAATGGAGCTCTATAAGAATTCTCTTCTCTCAGTTATTTCTGAGTTAATTCTTCAGTATACTGATGTATTATTTATCTTAGGAACAAAAATACATTTAAAATTAATAGTTTAAAATTTGAGATACTATATAAAATGAGCCATTGGCATTTTTTCCCCTCAGACTCATTACTTACTGAACTCGAAACAAAAGTAATTTGGATAGTCTGACATCTGACAAATGACAACATAATATTGTACTGTTTTAGTTTATGGTAACTACAGTACTTTATTGTGTTATTTCTACTTGTTTTCAGGAATGTAACACATTTTGAGGGGTGTCATAAAAATACTAATTGACCAGTTTATTGAATTTATCTACTTTCCTAGATTGTTTAAAGTAATGTACCTTGACTTTCCTTTCTTAAATTAAAAAGTTAATGGGGAAAGTATTGGGAAAAATAGATAGAAATTATTATTTCTCCTCTGCTTGGGGCACATGTTTTTGTTTTGGTCCTTTATGTGACTGACACACACAGAGTACTTGGTGCCAAAAGAAAGGTAGGTAAGGTAGAGAGGTTGAGATTCCTCCCTACAGAGATGATAAGGCCCAGAGTCCTGGATATTCCCATTATGCTGCCGCCATGCCATCGTGATGGCCTGGTTAGAGACGTGCAGTTTCCTCAAGGGGCAGCTAGAACCCTGAATGTACCAACCCCTGCTTTCCTCTCAGCTCTGACTGTGCTTTTACTTAACTCATGGGCCACAGTTCAGGATCACCATAGAATCAAAATTAGGAATGAAAAGAGCTGAATACTAGTTTCAGTCTACTTAACAATATATAATTGTGTGAAAATCATATGTGACCATTAGTGAAATAGTTTTGAAATCTATAGATTTAGAACCAGTGGAAATATGAGGTAACATTTTGTTTTTTGTTTTTGTTTTTGTTTTTTTCATTTTGCTTTTCAATACATAAGAACGGGTACCAAAAAATCGTCTCCTTTCTGCAAATGTTGAAGGTCTGTGGGGTTTTTAAAATTTCTTGACTGTAACTAGCACCAAGGAGTGGCTTGACTGATGGAGGAAGGGCACTCAAGGTATCCTGTAATCTCTATCAGGCACTATCCACCAAATTACCCAGAGAAAACAAGCCAAATAAAGTGTGCTTTTAATACCAGCTCCCTTTAAGGTAAATATCTTGGCTTTTTCTTTGCTGCCAAATTGGCATCCCTAAGACCTTCTAGTGTTTCTGTAAACAGCCATAGAAACATGTACTGGTTTTGCTTAAGATTCACAAAAGAGAAGACTGTATATGACTTATTTTTCAGAATGGTAGAGAAATAGTTGAAAAAGAAACTGTGACTCTTTGCTTTGTAATGATTACCTTATACTTATTTCTCCTCTCCAGGGGTCTACTTTGACTGCTGTGTCAGACAAATAAAATTTGTGGACTTCTGTGGGAAGTACCGCCTCCCCTTGATGCACTATTTGTGTTCGCCAGCATGCTCTTCCCCTTGCAGCTCCACCTCTCACAGCTCCACATCCCAGAGCGACTCTGACTCGGAGGATGAAGCTGGTGTTGCTGCTCACAGAATGCAGAAAGTTCTTCTTGGTTGAAAGGAGTGTGGGGTGATGTGAAACACTAAAAGACTGAGAGAAGGTAGTTAGAAAAGAAAATAGACTTCGAAGTTAAAGAAACATTATTATCATTTTGAATGTTCATGAAAGAATCGGAGATGATGTAAAAGACTATCTACCCAATTGGCAGGAATAAGACCAGTTCCATTTTAGGATTCTTTGAATATAATTCAACTCTGAAGGCAGTTTCAGATTTGGCTGATTATTCACTCACAGCAGACGAGAACCTCACAGCAGACAAGAACCTCCTGAAGAGCAGTGCTGTGATAAACCATGAGTGTTGTAACTTGTGACAGTTGCAATGAAGAAAGAAATGATCAAATCTGTGATTATTACCAAAGTTGTCCTTGGGCATAGGTTGAACACTACACAGTAATGGGATTAACCCTCCTTTTAAGTATTGCTCATACATCTAGATTACAGAGCTATTCAGATAAGCTCACAGACCTAAACCTTTCTGACCTACTAACTGGTAAAATAGGGGATATAACTTTGTGTGATTTTAAAACTCTTCAGTTCTGCTCCTTTATTTTATGATTGCTGTTACTCTTAGGTAATCCAGCAATGACTGCTATAGTGCCTTAAATCCTAGCTAGGATTTAAAAGTTTATTCAAGAAATGATGCCAGAACAGCCTGCCATATTATGCAGAACACTTTGAAATATGCTTCAACAGAACTAGGTAAACAGCTGTATATCTGACATCTGAGGTCATGGCCACCTTAACTTCATTTTTTGCTTAAACATGAAGTAATTGCCTAGCAAATCACTGTTACACTTAGTGGGAGACCATAGTCCTGGTCAGTCTGTTGATTGTAAGAGAATAATAGTTTTTGATTAAAAAATTGGTCAGATTTCTTTTCATAGGAAAGAGATATTAGCTAGGAAAGCTTCTTTATATCTTACATTAAAGGAGTGGGAAAGTGACTTAAAAATTTTAATAGATATGGCTCCATTGTCTATGTGTATTGAAACACTAGAAAAACATTACAACAAACCAAGTAAAATTTGGGGCAGCAGTCATTATGTTTGTACACAGTAGAACAATTTTCTAAACCAGTTTAACCATGGAATATTCTTTGAAAATTATTGATGACACACAAAAAATTATTAATCCTTCAAGTATAGCAGAAAAATGGTTTCACAGATGACTTGCTATTAGAAATTACATTGTTATTAATTTAATATGCAATAAAAATTAAATGGTCTAATTACAAGTTGATATTAAAAAATAAAATACACAGAACATACTAACAATCCTTAGATCATTAACCTATAATAACATGATGGTTTGTTGGTAAATGTTACCTATATAGCAATAAGCAGGTCAGAGGTACATTAGAACAGGAAATGATCTCCATTCTCAGTTGTTGGCATTCATAAATGGGCACATTTCTCCAAAGCAGATTGTTTTACAATAATATGTGTATTAGGTTTATGTCATATATATTATTTTTTATCTTAGAAGAAAATACACTGTAGGATAGTTCAGGGTTCGTTTGTTTATTATATGTTAATTCATGAAACACGAGAGTTTCATGACTGCAGTTGTGAAACGCTGCTATAGAGTAAATCCCTTCCCCTTGTTCCAACGTAGTAAGATTCTTTCTTCCTTTTCAGAAATTTTCTATGTGTATAGAATTAATCTAGTGTATTTCTACTGCCTAGCAAAGTAGTACATGGGCGATTGTATCTTACAGTGGAGGTAATAGAAAGTCTTTGTTTACTTCTCCATCTGAGCCACAGCAACCTACATATTACAAACCTAGGACAGGTAAAGTTGACTTAGGTAGTGTCTAAGTGGAAAGCTCAGAATGTTTCATTAGTGACTTAAATACACAAAATATTTTTATAGAAAATAAATAATGTAGTCATAGTAAAATATTAGGAGCAAATTTTTCTGGTTTAAATGCCTCAGTTTACTTTCAAATTCATTACCAGCTTGACCTAACAGCTTGGGTAACCTGAGAGTTAGTCTCTCTAAAATAAATGGGTTGGTATATAAATAAGGTATTTGACCTTACATGCCTTTTTCTAGCTTCTCACAAAAAAAGATACGCTGTTTGAGCTTTTACAGATATAAGTAGGTCTAACCAGAAACTGTCTACCTTTGCTCTATGATGTAGATATAAACCATAGTATAAAACAAAATATCTTTCCAAAAATGTTTCCTATGGTTCTCTATATGTGCATTTGAAGACCTAAGATCAGTGTTCAGCTGTCTTTGGTGACTTACTGAAATCTACAGTATAGCTATTAGTTTTATCTTTCTTTTTTTTTAAATCTTTGGCAAGAGCTTTTTACCTTTTACAAGAGCTGCTAGTAATTTCTAAGATTTTCCTTGTTTTTCCCTCCCCCACCTTTCCTTTTTTCATAACTGGTGACTGCAGAAATTAAACCAGAAGGTGGAAACCAGATATTTAGCGCCCGAATCATATAGCTGACTATATATATAAAATGATAGGTCGTATCTCTTTAGTTAAGTTACATATTTGTGTTTAAGCTATACTTAAGCTTTCTGTAGTTTTTGAGATGTATAGAATCTACTAATTTTCAAAATGAAATAAGTGTTTTGTTTTTTTTTTATCTTGGGCAATTTTAGTGACCAAAATTTATGTGTATAAAACTACTAAACCAAAGCATTACTGTGTTTGGAATGAAATTATTCAGTGCTAATATTTAAGACTGAAATATGTTGCACATTCTTAGCAATTCTTATTCCTAAAATCCAGTTCTCAGTGTCACCAAACTGGTTGTGAAATAGTCCTAGGATTTCAGGATATAGGAAGATTAGCTAATACAAAATTTTCCTTTCATGGCACCAGAAAATGGCTGACCTAATGAGTTCTCAGTATTCCCTGTATTTTGAGTAGAAGAGGTAGCTCTGAGGGTTACTATTCATATTTTATTTCTCCAGAATTATCTCTCATTCTAAAATTCTTGATACTTGGAACTTTAAGTTACAAAATTTAAAATAAAAGACTTGCATTGTAAATTGTGCCTCAAATTTGAGAAATTTTTGTATTGATGTAAATAAAAGTTAAAGGCAATTCACACTAGTGCAGTGTGGCACACAGTTCTACCAAACATTGTGAATATCAGTTTTAAACGAAAGAAGAGACGGAAAGGGGTCACTGCTGGAGTGGGAGATGAAAGCAGTCTTTAAAAGCAACAAATGGAAGGCAAGTAGAAGTCACCAGGCATATCCCTGAGCAAAGAAATTTCTTTAATAGTGAATTGTTTTAAAATTAAGTGGCCACTGACTACCATCTGAAAGCCTTTCTCATTAATTTCTTTTGTTTCTGCTATTAGGATATTGTCCACAACCCTCCATAATGAAGGGCCAGCAAATAATAGGATTTTCTTATAACCAACCTTGCTCTTTCCAAAGGGAGAAAGTAATACCTTATTAACCTGGAATTTATGGTACAGTCTTGATTAATGTTTACCTGTTCACTATGTAAAAAAAGAAAAAACCTATAATTCCTGCAAATAAATTTTAAGGCATTTTATATAAAAGTTATTCTAAATAAGGGACCATTTGTAGGCAACATTATATTGTATATAAAATTATGCTGCATTTATTTAGAAATATCTTATTTTTAACTAAAAGATGTACTTATCCAAAATAGAGATTTTATTACAGTAGTATAATAGTCCAAAATAGTGAGCCGGGCATTTAACAACAGTAAAAGCTATTGTATAGGTGTTCGGGCAGCATGATCTGCAATACATAGTTCTGATTTCTTTTATATAGAAGAGAAGTACTTGACCTTCACTGTATCTATTTTAAGCACTATACTCTGTAATATTAATGTGATGAATTTAATAGCATCCAATTTTATATTTTCATTATAGTCATGGTTATTTTAAAGGTAGCATTGTTTTCATTTGTGCTCAGAAAAGTATGTGCCTTATTTAAATCCTCCACTCTATACCCAAAGTTGGAGGAACTCTGTCATTTAATAAGTTCTTTGTGACAGTTTTGTCACCCTTTGCATTTGACTTGAGGGAGAAAACCTGATTCTAAGGGATTTCTTTCACTAAAATGGGGCCTAATATCTGAGTCTAGGGCTTCTGGAAAGGGAATCCTAATGAGGCATACTCTCAGAAAGTCAAAGCCATAAGGATAAAGTACCCTGAAATAAAACCAGTGAAAAGGTATGTTGTCTTTGATATTATTTTATAAGGAAAATTTATGTGCTTCCATTAAGGGGTGATAGCAGTTCCTAACCAGCTTCATAATAACAACATCATATAAAGATATTGGCATGAGCCTAGCATATTTTTTGAGTGGCTCCTCTATGATATTAGGTTGAGGGGATATGTTTTAATACTTTTACATGTAAATGTCTACATTCTTTTTCTCTCTCCTTGGTCCACATTTACCAAGAAGGATGTAGAGCAGGGGTGTCATTTTCACTGGGGGCCACATCAGCCTCACAGTTGCCTTCACAGGGCCAAATGTAATTTTAGGACTGTATAAATGTAACTACTTAACAGTTAAGCAAGAGCTTGGTGCTGCCACCAAGTAGAAACCAGGTGCCTGGCCATATAAAACAATGTGTAGGGCCAGATTTGGCCTGTGGGCCTTGTGTTTGCCACCTGTGATATAGAGAATGACAATTCACTAACAACAGACATTATACATTATTGGACATTTACAGGGTAGTATTGATTTGGGTGCTACTAGACTTACCTAGAATTGTTCTGTCTCAGTTTATCACAAGAGACAGTATTCAATTTTGTAAATATTAATATTAAAATTATTTACTCTAATGAGGGTTTTTATTTGTTTGTTTTTTTGTTAATACCATCATACCAGAAAGCCATGGTTCCTGAAGAGACTATCTGAATTTAGCAGAATTTATTTCTTCCTTTGGCTGTGAACAAATTGGATAAAATTGTTTTATACTAATTCCCGTCAGGAGAAGAAACTAGAATAAAATTGACCTTTCTATTGCTAGTACTACAAAAACATTACTAAATTGGTCAATACTTCTGTCTGCTACTGATGTTTTAAGAGAATCCTTTCACTAACATAAATGGTTGACATTGTATTATTATTGGTAAGGAATATTAAACTCAGTGATCACTTTACAACAATAATAGAGAGACCAGTGTGCCTATAAGTGGTGTTTATTGTATTTCTGAATTCTGTATTCATGAGAAACAAAAACATAATGGGAGGAATATTTTAAATCATCAGTATTAACTTTTTATAAAGTTTGGGACTTTAAAGTATCAACAAAAGATGTTGGAAATATGTGTGCTTTAATCAAATTGCATTTAATCTGATTTTTAAATTTTCCATATTTGAATCTTGTGAATTAGAAGTATCTATATAGGTATATATACATTTAAAAATAGTAATGATAAATTAATTCAGCAATGATTAAATAATTAAATTTTAGTACAAGATACAGTTTATTGCATCAAATTTTGTATTACCTTGTAATGGTAAATGTTCTAAAAAGAATATTTAAGCCACTTCAATTCTATACATATCACCTTTATTCTCCTAGGACACATGAAAGAATGTGCTATTACATTAACTAGCCCTCTGTGTGCATTTTGCCATATCAAACACTGTGCCATATTGTATTAAAAGTGTCTTACTGGAATTTGACTCTGTACTCTGGAAAAGTAATCATATTTTAGTTTTAATTGATGAACATTTATGTTTTTATAAACTAAAATCCTTATAATGTTGGTATTTGCCTGATTACTTATTATATCATTGCTCATCTGTTTATCGAATTGTCTCAGTACATGAATGTGTACATTAAGTATATAGTAACATTTACTGTCTGTGCTAGATGCAAGGGATAAAAGATGAGTTAGACCAGATCCCTTTCTACTAGAGTTCCTTCTGCTTCCACAGTCTTAGATTTATGGATGCATGCTCCAGTAAGAAATAGGTGAGGTCATTTTGCTAACTAAGGTCAGTTAATTTTTGCATTTTGTTGTTTCAAATTTGCTGAATTGGAAAAACTCAGCACTTCTCTGATTAGTATATAGGAAAGCTTCTTAGTGAAGATAGGCTTAGAAATTTGAGGGCACAAGAGAAGAAAAACATTGTGTGTAACTGATCTCTTTGCTTTCCTGAGGATAAAACTGCCCTAATCTGCCCAGTTGGGGGTGTTCTCTTTAGAACAAGTGTCAGCAGAAAATTTTCTTCTCTAATGGGTTATCTAATTCTATAGAACCAAACAGAAGGCCACACTTTTCAGGGACTGTATGAGGCTTGGATATGTCCCATCACATCAGTCACTGCCAGCTTTAGGAAAAATTCCATCAGCACTCTACCTAGAATGTCAGCTAGAAGAAACTTGAAAGATCTATAATTGACTCACTCATTTGCGAGATAAAAACATTTAAGCCCAGAGAGACTTCTCCAAAATTTCACATGGCTGAATCTTGAATCCAAGTGTCTGGATTCCCACTTCAATACTGTTTCCATGATAATATGGCCCTTTATTTACTTACTACTCTACCTGTGACAGGAAATCAGTTAACAGCATTGGCACTGCATTGTAATAGGTCAGCTGGCATCAGAGTGATGCTGCCTGCACTACATCTCAGCATGTGCAAAGCTTCAGATCAATTGGGAAACCGTAGATACAGAGTAAGTATCTGGGTAGATCATTACTGTTTACAAAGCACATTCAAAAACGTACCTTATTTGATCCTCATGACACTGAGGTAGGACTGGACTTGGTCAAGTTTGTTGGTGTGATTCATCACACCCTTTTCCTCTGAATTTGGAATCAATCAAGAAATTGACATAGACTTGAGAAAGGGATCTAAATTCCAGCTTTATCAAGTCAATATATAGATACAGACATACAGATATCTCATATATACCATCCAAGGACATGCTTATTGATTGTAGAGAGAGGGGAAGGAAGGGAGAGAAGGGAGAGAAAAAACCAATGGCTTCCTTCTTGTACATGCCCCATGGGGGACCAAACTCTCAACCTGAGCATGTGCCCTGACGGAATCAAACCCACAACCTGTTGGTTTATAGGTTGATGCTCCAAACAACTGAGCCACACTGGCCAGGGCAAGTTTCTTACATTCTTGAATGTAACCAACCAAATCACAGACTCCCCTGCAGGGACTGTGTACCGCTAGATAGCATTCCATGAGGCTGACCTGAATATACTATAGATCCAATGGAGGTCAGGTCAAGCCTTAAACCCTGTAGTGGTGCCCAGTAGAAAAACCTGGAGCAATTTATCAGGCCATCTAAGCAGATGAATTAGTCTTTCTCTTATAGGGAGAAAAAAGATACTAGACAGGTTTCTTCTGGGCAGCTGTTCTCAACCTTCCCTAGTTGTGCATTAGAATCAACATGGGAGCTTTGAAAATATCAGATGCCTGGGCCCCATCTCCTGACTAACTGAAACCTGATCTTTAGAGGTGGAGTCTGGACATCAGTAGTTGTAGAAGCTCCCCTAGGTGGTCAAGTTGCCCAGCAAGGGTGATAATTCCTTAGAGAAAGTCTCAGTAGCTTGGTCCATGCATTAGGACTTTAACAGGTGAAGAAGTGGGTCCGAAGTGATGCATGACTTGCCAAGTTCTCTCAATGGCAGAGCTAGGGTTAGAATCCATCTACTTTTTAAAAAATTAATTTTAGACCAGGCACTTACTGCTAATTCAATGTTCTTTGCATCTCCCTCCCTCTTTTGCCTGAACTGAAGTGTTCACTGAAAGTGTTCTTTCAGTTCACGAGGATGTAAGATATATTCAAGCTGATTGTGTATATTGAAGCCAACTGCCACTAAGAGTGTCTGCTAAATTGAGGGAAACAAAAGCGTCAAACTGATCAATTTGACCAGAAAAATAGGAAAGGATGGCTTGGTGAAATGTTTCAGACACAGCCATCAAGGCATAGGTGAGGAAGACCTTGTCAAGTTATACACGGGCTCTTTTGACCACGGATAACACACCTAACATCCTAAGCAGCGGTGATGAAGGAGTTGACATTACCGAGAAAGATAACAAATGTAGACATCTGCCTAGGAGAAAACACTACAATTAATCCATAAGCACAGATTTCCATGACAGGAAACAGTAAGAAAAGTTCAACACTGCACATAAGTACTATGCATATTTTCTACCCCAGTTTCTTTTAGATCTAGCTGTGAGAGGATATGATTATTTTGCTGCTTATAACTGAATAATCAGTCTTACAACCTCTGTAAATATGTGGAAGATTTAAATGGAAAAGTAAATTTGTTCATGATGCCATTTTTCTTCCTACAAATAAAGACTGGCTTTAAAATGTTGCTTGGGAGTTTTAAAAGCTAAACTAAAGATCCATGAAATAAGTTTAACTTCTTGGAAATTAAGTTTGTGTTACAGCTAGAAAGCTACAATTTTAAAATTTTGTAACCTTGACAATGAACTACAAGGCTCATCCTAACTTTAAAAGTCTACAATTACCTGTGCTCAAAACTCCTTTCTATTTTTGTAGCTGCCTAATATTTCTGAGTTCTTGCATCACTCACCACACCCTTTTCAGCCAACTCTGTTTAGGTGTGTTAATCTTTCCTCCTAAGCCACTGTACAAGCAGCCAGGGGCAGAGTTAGTGGAGTAGGGAGAACTTTGACCCTGACTCTGCAATTAAAATTCTGCCCTTTATATATCACTTCCCAGGGCTTCTTGTTGGGAATGATATGTCAATGGGCAGCTTTGAAATAATCTGTTTTTTATTTCTGCTGAGGACAGTATCTCATAAAAGAAAGGCATGTGATGTGTGATTACTAGATGCCTATGACGTTCGCTGTAGTGTAATTATAATTACATTGTTTAACCCTGGCCTGCTGCAGGAATTTTTCTCTGGTCCTAGGTAATTTCAGAATCAAATACTTAGCAGCAAGAGTTTGAGAAATCGTCTTCACACCACTCTGTGCAAGAGGACAACTCAACCATCAGGTTTAGACCTATCCGATTTTTAAATATCTCAGAGAAGGTTTTTACTTCTTTAGCAATTCTGGAGTTTAACAATTGTCACTGGAGGAAGTACTTCTTGAGGTTCTTGTAATTGTGCTAGCCAGATTAGCTATGGAGACAACTTTTAAATTGCTGGTGTCAGCACAGGCACAATGACACTAGTGAGATGGTGTATTGTGTGTGCACATACACATGCTCATGTGTGCTACCCATTATGTGGTTTCTGTACCTTTGTCTGGCTCCAAGATGTTGCTGTTCCCTTCCTGTTGATAGTTGGTCTCTGTCCTTTCTCCCAGCCCAGAGCTCCTCCACCACTATAAAAGTCAGGGCACAGGAGTCACACTTCCAACCCTTTCTACCTTGTGTTTGTGCAACACCTATTAGGAAGAGAAATATGAGAACAACATGGTCACAGCTCTCCGTGTTGAAACATAAATCCAATAATGTAAGAATTGGAATGAAGATGAGAAAAGAGAATACTTGACAGTGAGGTTTTCAACCTTACCGCCAATAAGCAGACTGACAAGTATAGATACAGAGGTTGATGTATCCAGGAGGAGGAAAGGACAAGACGCTTCCCCAGCCACTCTCGGCTGAGTGTTTCATGGGTGCCCCAGTGAAGAAACTTGGTAATTGATACCTGAGCCGCTATGCATTTATACATGCATATTATTTGTAAATTTCCACATACATGCATGTACATGTTAATTGTTTTAAACTTACCCCAAAAAGAAGAAGATTCACTCTTTTATTTATTTTTGGTTATACTTGTGAACTCTCAGGCAACGTAATTTCTACAAGGTACTATTAAGGACAGGACCTTGAATTGGGTTAAATCTTTCTTTACATTCAGATAAACCCAAATCCTTATGTAATCCCATGAGGGGGATTCTTATGGGACCATGGGATTCTTATGTGCCTGCCACTTTCACCTGAGCATGAGGCCAAGAGAGGAATAAAAGCTGCTAGGTGACACTGTAGGCAGAGCTAGACTCTGTGACAGAATGGACTTTTCTTTGAGAAATGCAGCACCAAAGCTATCTTAGAGCAAAGGCCAAGTAGTTGATCTGGCATAAAGCAGATGTCTCTTCTCAAATCAAGATTTGGAAGGATCTGTTTACCATTAATTAGCCTATTACCCTGATGGTGATTTTTCTGTATGTGCCTGTTAGACCAGGTATCCAGTATCTAATCTCTTTTCTTTATGCAGCCATGAGTACCAAGGCAAGATTAGGTAATCATTCATATGCTAGCAGATCCAGAAACACAGTCCCCTCATAATACACCCTCATAAAATTAGGCAGTTGGGAAGGTGAAAGGGTCATGTTGGATGCAGGTGCTATTTAAGGAAATTTCTTGGTATGAGAACCAACCTTCAAAAGACAGCTGCATCACTGAAAATTTTGGGCACGGGTGTCCTGCTTTCCTTTCTTTTCTTCCTCCTAATTCACATATTTTCCTCACCCTCCTTTTCTTCTTTCTTTCCCTTCCTTCTCCTTCTCCACCTTCACTATAATAATGATGTGTAGGTGACACGATTAGACATGAAGGGCAAAAGGGGAGTCACCATGCCTTCCTAGGGCTTAATAAAGTAGTTGAGCTCTGGAACACTGAGAAGGTGGCAGTTTGAATACAGTTGCCTTCTCTCCAACTAGCACCTCCAATCTTTTGTCAAGTGGTAGCTAAGGCCTATGGGTGTATAAATGCAAGTGAGACTATGGGCTTTCTATGAGTCCTAGAGGGAAGAAGGG